AACTTGAATGTTATCAAGAATATAGGCATCATAGCAGCTTCCAGGGCATCTGGTGCAGACCTCCAGGATGTAGTACCAATAAACACAGATAACTTGTAGATTGATGGAGTGGAACCCTTTTCTGTTGATGAAGTCAGGCGCTTTATGAACTAAGTGCGGATATAGTCTATAATGCCCTGTAGCTGCAAATGCTGACTGCCTGGGATGTAACACTGACCTTGTCAAGGGAAAACGATATGATGCAATCTTGCACAAATGATATTGATAATAGCCTTGATACATTTGCCTTTTGAGGATTGAGAGATTCCACACAGGTCTCCAGCAGATCCTTGACTAAAAATAAACTAGCACAGCTGTCAGTTGTCACCTTGACAGCCAGTGGGATAGGATGACCACTCACCCCTTCGGGTCATAAGTCCTGCTCCAGTAAATGGTGTAGTTCTGTTATGGTGTCCCAAAATATTCTCCATGTGCGATGGCTATGCACATTCTTCATCTGAAGGAAATGGGATTGAGGATAATGGACATTGGGCTACCTCCAGCTGTGACTTCTTCATGCATTGGTTGTTCAGCTACTGTGCTTGCTGGCATGTCTGTTCCTCCTCAGTTTCTCTGTGCCTTTGCTGTACCACAGCCACATTGACATTGACCACTGCTATGGCTGGATCCATTTGTCATGGTTCCAAAAAACCCATGAGGGGACTATCAGAAATAAAACAGATTCTTATTAATCTGAGCAATTGGCATTCACATCATGCACAAATGGCAGTTCAGCATAGTCCTCCAAACAGTGGGACTTAGAGAATTCTAAGAAGGAAGTTTGTGGAATATATCTACATGGACCTTTGACATTGTGGATGTATTCCAGTACAAGCTGTGTCACAAAAATATTGTAGGAGATTGTAAGTACAGTAGGACACTGAAACCTTGACTGCTGCCACATCACACAAGAAAGTCAACAATGCATACAAGAGAATGTTGGCAACAGATACAGTTTAGTATGACGCATGATCAGTTCCATGCCTTTGTGCAGCCTATGAGGCATTGGATCTTTTAGTGTGAATTATGATCTGCAGTTGACACTTTTACAATCACTTGGGATATGGGCCAGATGCTGGCAAATGGAACGAGGTCAGATTGGGATGTCTGATTGGTGTGAACAAGTTGGGTTGAAGGGTCTGTTTCCATCCCGTACAACTCCATGATTCTGTACCTCTAAGTTACTCCAACATGTGGCCAAAGGGATCCTAATATCAGATGACTCCAACACGCAATGGTTCACATCGCACATGTGACAAATTAAACAAAAAATTATATTGCAATTTGAAGAAACTGGCCCAAACAATAAAATGACTTCCAAACAAAACGACATGAAGCAGGGCAATGTAAATTGAAGACCCCTTGCTACATGGTATTAATTCATAGAACGGGCATGAATAAAAAGCAGAAAAGGCTTAAAGGTCCAGCATCTAATACACATTACTGTCGTGCCATAATATAATTTAATTAACAGTTGTCTTCACCTCAACTCATTGAATTCAATATTGAACTTAACATAGCAGCTATGGCCTGTTTAGAATCAAGGAATAGCCCAGACTGTTCTCAGCAGTAATGGCTAAATGGGATCGTTGACAATGTTAATGTTGGCAATACATTTATTGAACGTGATATAAACACAGTTATACTAACTTCTTCAATCAATAATCTTGATGTTAGACTATAGAGGATCAAATTTATGTTGCACTGTCAATGATCTGCATTAAATGAAATGACATTCAAAAATTATAAAGGTAATATTTACCTCTGCCTGCTTGTTAGATCTAAGAATCACACTTTAGAAGAAGCCACAACATACTACTCACTTCATTCAATAATAAACTTCTGAGTAGATTGGAAGGATACCCACCAAGAATCAATGTGGTTATGCAGACTGCTATCTGATAATATCATGGATGCCCAATTGTTATTTGGAACAGAGGCTTGCAAAGACAGCCTCCTATCAGCTTAGTAGGAGGAAGGGTTGGGTCTTTTCACAGTGGTGTTAGGAGCAGCAGAATTGCGTGTTCTGCCTGACCTGTTTTCATTGCTTTAGGTCATTTCTTTGATCATGGGACCATTCTTTTAACCCCTAGTGATGAATTAGTAGATGAACTACACTGCATTTATTTGACGAATTTAAATGCATTTATTTCAATGAAAGAGGCCTGATAGGTAAGGCAGATGAACACAGAGTATGGTTAGAAACATGGGGCTGGGAAAACATCATGGCGATGCTTAGTGAGGATGTCTTGGGCAATTGTCCAAAGAAGGTATATGGGTGGAACTGAGAAATAAGGGTGTGATCGTTTTGATCAGGTTGTACTATAGACTCCCCAAGTCAGTGGAAAATTGAGGAGCAAGTATCTGGGGCAATTGCAGATATCTATAAAAATAATAGGGTTGCAAAATTAGGGGATTTCAACTTTCCAAACATAACTGGGACTGGCATAATGTTGAGGGCTTGGATGGGTAGGAATTTGTTAAGCATGTTTAATAAACCTTTCTCAGTTAATATGTACATGCGCTACTGGAGAAGGGGCAAAACTCAACATCGTTTTCAGCAATAAGGCAGGGCAAGTGACACATGTTAGTGGGAGAACACTTTGAGACCAGTGATGATAATTTTGCTAGTTTTAAAATAGTTATGGAAAAGGATAGGACTAGGCCACAGAGTTCTAAATTGGGGCAGGGCCAATTTTGATGGTATTAGACAGAAACTTTCAAAAGGTGATTGGGGGAGGCTGTTTGCAAATAATGGGATGACTGGGGTAAGTGACAGGCTTTTGAAAGTGAGATAATGAGATTCAGGGCCAACATGTTTCTGACTGTGAGAAGGGAATGGCTGGCAGGAGTAGGGAACACTGAATGACTGGAGATGTTGAGACTCTGGTCAAGAAAAAGAAGGAGGCATATGTTAGGTATAGACAGCTGGAATCAAATGAATCCATTGAAGAGTATAACGTGTAGGAATGCACGTAAGAGGGAAATCAGGGGAGTGAAAAGGCATCATGAGATAGCTTTAGCAGATAAGGTTAAGGAGAATGCAAAGAGATTCTACAAGTATATTAGAGCAAAAGAGTAACTGCAGAGAGAATAGGGCCCCTTAAAGTTCAATGAGGCCGTCTATGTGTGGAACCACAGGAGATGGGTGAGATCCTAAATGAATATTTCACATCAGTGGAAAAAGATATGGAAGCTAGGGAAATAAATAGTGATATCTTGAAAAGAGTCCACGTTAAAGAAGAGGAGGTGCCAGAAGTCTTACAATGAATAAAGGTAGATACATCTCTGGTGTAGGGAGAGACTGAATAGGCTGGGGCTTTTTTCCCTAGAGTGTCAAAGCTGAGGGGTGACCTTATAGAGGTTTATAAAATCATGAGGAGAATGGATAGGGTCAATAGGCAAGGTATTTTTCCTAGCATGGTGGAGTCCATAACTAGAAGGGATAGGTTTAAGGTAATGCTGGCAAATTGGACTAAGTCAGATTGAGATGTCTGGATGGTAGAGACAAGTTGGACCAAAGGGATTGTATGACTCTGTGATTCTATGACTCTCTGTATCCCTGAACATCATGCGAATCTAGGGAATAAGTTACGGGGCTGGTTAGTAAGCTTAGGATCACATGGGATCCAGGGAGAACTAGCCAACTGGATACAGTTGGCTTGATGGTAGGCAACATAGGGTGGTGGCAGAGACTTGTTGTTCATACTGGAGGCCTGTGACCAGTAGTGTGCCGCAAGGATCGGTGCTGGGTCCACTGTTGTTCATCGTTTATATCAATCATTTGGATGAGAATATAGGAGACATGGTTAGTAAATTTGCAGATGACACTAAAATTGGTGGTATGTTGGACAGTGAAGAAGGCTATGTAACAGTATAATGGAATCTTGATTCAATTGGGCCAGTGAGCCGAGAAATTGCAGATGGAGTTGAATTTAGATAAATGTGAGGTGTTACATTTTTCTAAGACAAACCAGGGCAGGACTTCCATCGTTAATGTCAGGGCCCTGGGCAGAGTTGAGGAACAGACAGGCCGAGGGATGCAGGTACATAATTCCTTGAAAGTGGCAGAAGTGGCATCACAGGTAGAGAGGGTAATGAAGAAGGCTTTTGACTTGCTTTCCTTCATTGGTCAGAGCATTGAGTACAGGGGTTGGGATATCATTACGGTTTTACAAGATATTTGTAAGGCCATATTTGGAATACAGTTCTGGTCCCCTGCTTTAGGAAGGATGTTATGAAACTTGAAAGGGTGCAGAAAAGATTTAGAAGGACATTCCCGAGACTGGAAGGTTTGAGTTATAAAGAAAGGCTAGATAGACTGGGACTTTTTCCCTGGAGTGTAGGAGGCTGAGGGGTGACCTTATAGAGGTTTATAAATCATGGGGGACATAGATAAGGTGAATAGCCAAGGTCTTTTCCTCAAGGTAGGGGAGTCCAGAACTAGAGGACAGAGGTTTAAATTGAGTGGAGAAAGATTTAAAAGAGAACTGAGGGGCAACTTATTCACACAGAAAGTGGTGCACATATGGAACAAACTACCAGAGGAAATGGTAGTGGTGAGTACAATTACAGCATTTAAAAGACATTTGGACAGGTACATGGATAAGAAAGATTTAGAAGGACATGACCCAAAAGCAGGAAATTGGAACAAGCTCAGTTTAGGAAACCTGGTCGGCATGGACGAAGGGTCTGTTTACATGCTGTGTGACTTTATGACTCTAGTAGCAACATTCTGCTGCCTGTCATTGCATTCCTGTTGCACGTCATTGCAGTCCTGTCTGTTGGCCAGTCCAACTTTCACCCATCTGCTGATTTCAGGCGAGAACCTGAGTCAAACTACACAAATGAGGACCAGGGGTTTAAAGCTGCAACAAAACCCCACTACCCTCAATTGATACTGATTTCAATAAATGGAAAAGAGTTTTGCTCCTTGATAAATATAATTTCTCTTTTTTCAGCTCCAGCGCAATAGCAGTAGTAAAGATTCTCAGAGTGCTGCGAGTATTAAGACCTTTGAGAGCCATTAACAGAGCAAAGGGATTGAAGGTAATTGATCCCTGCATAAAATGAATGTTAAGTAAGTTCTGAGTACAGGTGTGTGAATGTATGGGGGAGTAATTTGTAATCATGCATGAGGCACGCTCTGATTTGAGTAGATGGTACAACTGGACAAGTCAGATGCTAGAATGAAATCTGGCTTGATATTATCATTTTTCTTTTATTTTAGTTACTGTGGTAATCAATCTCTGAACTGCAGTTACATTAGGCTACACCATTTCTTTGATGACAGAACAAACAATGATTACATTGATAAATACAAAACACACTCAGAAAGATCTTAAAGCACATGGAACAGAAAAGTTTCAACATGTTTCCTGGCATTATATTTTGTAGATCCTCAAATGTGGAGAAAGTAGCCCATCTCTCAACTCCTTAGGCTGCTACTTCGCTGACTCCTGATTGTGTCCTTATATGGACTATGGAGACAATTCGCTGAATCTTCTTCAAATCTACCATATGAATTCTTCCTCAACTCTGTCTTTCTAACCTTTACTGCTTTGGAAGCTTCACAAGCTAAACTTTTCAACAGAAGTGGCAGTATTTTCCCTGAACTGCCCAATGCTACTGTAAGGAAACCAAACTAAACATACTTCTAATTTCAGACAGGTCTGCCCTGAACTTTTAATCTGTGGGTTTTCAAAATAAAATTAATCCTTGATTATCCTGAACTGAAAACAAGCTAATGGCCTTCCATGTTTATTCGATCTGCTCTAAACCCCACAGTGTAATCATCTTGTTCCATGAACACTTCAGGAGTTTGCAATCATTTGCTTTTTGACACATTCTGAATCTGGTCTCTGTAGCAGAAGGATTCTCTGACCTCGTTTTTTTTCCTTAAAATAACTTCACAAAACTAACCAATACCCCTATGCTACTATGTTGAAATGCAACTTGTAAAATGATGTTTCTTTATGCTGCAAAGTCCAATCACAGTTTGGGTGATTGCTGTATGAACAGCCTCATAATTGAGCTTACTTCTGAAGTTCCCGTTTAAGTCACACATAACCCTAACTTGTATTTATATAATTGTTGCTTCATTGTTGCTGAGCAAAAATCCTGGAACTCTCCCTTACAGTGTAGCAGTTCACTGAAAGCTGCTTCCCAACTCCTCCTTGAAAGCAATAGTGTTACAATCCCTATAAAGACTGGTATGTTTGTAAAAGAAAGGAATACCCACAATTCTCATAGAAATAACCAAAAGACAAGATTTCAACTTTTAAACTTTTTGCGCAACAAATAAAGTTCAGCATACATCAATTTTTAATTACCAAGCAGCTGATAAATCCGATCATAACTAAAACTATATGTTTTGCATTAACTAATTAATATAACAAAAATATATTACAAAATGCCTTCACTGTAAGCCACATTTCTAGTAGCGAGAAAGCATTAATGGGACCATCTCAAACTCTTGGTTCTCCAGCAGATGTTCATTACATCCTGCCATGTCAGGTTGAAATTTTCGGCATAATTCAATAATAGTTCTACTTTCCTTGAGTTCTGTGGATCCAGTTATCATCAGTACGGTACAACTTGGTGAATTCCCCTGTCCCTCTGATCACAATGGTCCTGACAATCCAGAATTCCAGACACACCTTCATTCAGTCCATTTACGTAGTTTAACTGGCTCTGGTAAAACTGTTTTCCTCATGGAGATTTTCTGTTTCCATCATTTCCCACAACACTGGGAAGATCTGTTTTTGGGAGTATTCAAATTCTCCTTTTTGTCCATGCCTTAACAGCCATGGTTCTCTAAACTGTGTGCTATGATGAGAGGTGCTAAAACTGCTATTCAACACCTCAATGCGTTTCATTTGAGTTTCTCTCCCCCTGGCAATCTGAGATCACATCAGCACCTCTTAAAGAGCTGTTTGCCAAGAATTCCAGTTACACAAATTAGTTGCTGAATGCTCTGCTGTACTTTGAGTTAATGAGTTAAAGGTACATTTTAAATTATAACCATTTTGCAAAATTTAGCATTCATGACAGTACCTTCGAAGCTACACCCACATTCCATTAGTGAATAAAAGAAGTCGCCATTTATTAACAACATAATTTTTTTTTAGTCTTTGACCTGCAGAATAAATTTCAAATTATCTTTCAAAAATGTTTGCTAGCTTTGAATTTAGATTTTAGCAAATTGCATTTAACCAATGAAAAATAATAAATCAGTCATATTTGTTGCTTTTCAGCACGTTGTTCAGTGTGTGTTTGTGGCCCTGAGAACCATTGGTAATATTGTGATAGTCACCACATTACTACAGTTCATGTTTGCTTGTATTGGTGTGCAGCTGTTCAAGGTAAGATTGAATTAATATTTATTTTGTAAATTAGCCAGTTAATTACTTCTTCCTACTCATTCTTCCATTTTTCTTGCATCCAATTTCTCTGGTTCATTCCCCTGCATTGTAGGAAGGTGATCTGCTGTTAGCCCTTTATGTCCCACTGAACCCATAGCCACAATGTACATGCAACTAGCTTGAATGTGCATCCCTGTTGCCCTGATTATATGTATTTTTATGAGAATATCAGAATCAGTATCAGAAGATCATTTTCATATAACAGTCCCAGCTTTTAGTTTGATGTTCATTATAGGTCTTAAACCTATGTTCGGTACATAACTGTCTTGACATTTTAAAATTAAAATATAAATTTTTATACATATAACTTGCGCGCGCGCACACACACACACACACAGTATCTCTCTCCCTCACACACACAAACACACACACACTCTCTCCCTCTCTCTCACGTACATACGTACACTCTCTCTCCCTCACACGCGTGCATGCACTCTCTCTCCCACACACACACAGCACACGCAGACACACTTTCTCCCCATCTCTTGCTCACACACACACCCACACAGACTCACTCTCTCCCTCAGAAACACACACATACGCGCACACTCTCTTTCTCCCTCTCTCTGTCCCACACACTTTGTCACTGCCTCCCACACACACACAGTCCCTCCCACACATACACACACAGTCTCTCCCACACACACACACACATACATGCAGTCTCTCCCACACACACAGACACTCCCATGCGCACACACCCACATCCACACACACGCAGTCTGTTCCCCCCATACACACACACATGCAGTCTCTCTCTCACACACATACACACACACAGACACACAAATATGCAGTCTCTGCCACACACACACACGCAGTCTCTCCCACAACACGCACTCTTTCTCTCTCACACAAAGACACACACTATCTCTCTCCCTCTCATGCACACACACTCTTGCACCCCCACCCCACACACACACAACACACACACACACACACACACACACAATATCTTTCTGTCTATCCCTCACACTCTCGCAGACACACACACCCTCTCTGTCTTCCTCACAAACACACTCTTTCTCTCCCCCTCACACACACACGTGCACTCACATGCACTTTCAATCTCTCACCGCCTGACAAATACGCACGCACTCTCTCTCCCTCCCTCTCTCACACACACACACACACTCTCTCTCTCTCTTTCTCCCTGACACACGCACACTCTCCCTCTCCCTCTCACTCTCACTCTCTCACACACACAAACTCTCTCTCCCTCACACACGTACTCTCTCTCCCACATAGACAGAAACACACACACGCACACTCTCTCTCTCTCACACAAACACATGTACACTCTCTCTCTCCCACTCTCATACACACTCTCGCACCCCTGCCCAACAAGAACACAACACTCACACACACAGTCTCTCCCACACACGCAGTCTCTCCCACACACACGCGCACACACACACAGCCATGTGCACACACACACAATTACTCCCATGCACACACACAAACCCACCACACCCACACATACGCAGTCTGTCTCTCTCTCGCACACACGCACACACATGCACGCATGCGCACGCACGCACATACACACGCACGCACACGCACACACACAGTCTCTTCCACACACAAGCACACGTACACACAGTCTCTCCCACACACACACGCACACACACAGTCTCTCCCAAAACCCCACACACAGTCTCCCCTGCACACGCACATGCGCACACACGCGCGTGCGTGCGCACACTCTCTCTCTGCCACACACACATGCACTCTCTGTCTTCCTGACACACACACACATGTGCACACACGCACACGTCAATCTGTGGGGTGAATTTGTATTTGCATATTCATTGTATTTTGTTCAAAAAGCACATACACAGTCTCTACCCTAAACACACACACACACACACACAGTCTGTCTCTCTCACACACATACACACAAACATGCTCTCTCTCCCATACACCCACACACACACACCCTCGCTCTCCCCCTCACATGCACACGCACACACACCCTCTCTGTCTCTCTCACACACGCACACACTCTCTCTCTCTCTCCCTCACACACGCACACAAACACACACAATCTGTCTCTCTCACCCCCCCCTCACAAATACACGTACACACGCTCTGTCTCTCTTTCTCTCCCTCACACACACACACACACACACGCCCACACACACACACACACACACACACACACACACACACACACACACACACACACACACGTGCATGCGCACTCTCTCTCTGCCACACACACACACATGCATACACGCACACGTCAATCTGTGGGGTGAATTTGTATTTGCAGATTCATTGTATTTTGTTCAAAAAGCACACAATTTATAGATAGTCAATGTAGCATTTTATAATTCCTACTTTTAAAAATAAAACCAATCTGACTCCAGACCAAAACCCAAACAGATTCTAAACAAGGCCTCACACATAACACACATTTTCTAACCTAAAATGTCACCTCTTCTTTACAGTGATAAAAACCTTTAGTTCTCTCAGGCCAGTGACTTTGTAAGGAATTCGGGGATTTACATATTCATATTAATCAAATAAAACCCTCAAACTGATTGAGGATTTAATAGCATCTTAGGTTTGTTTAGTACGTCCTGATCAATGTAACCCTTTGATCTTTTACTTATAAATTCTGTGTCTGATACTACCTCTCTCAGTAACACCTGAAGAAGGACCAAGGCTCTGAAAGCTTGTGTTTTCAAATAAACCTTATAATATTTAGTATCCCAGAATCCCAACAGTGCAGAAACAGGCCCAACAAGTCCACACCGGCCCTCCAAAGAGCATCCCACCCAGACCCATTCCCTACCCCTGCATTTCCCACATCTAACCCACTTAACCTAAACATCCCTGGTCACTATGGACAATTTAGCATGGTCAATCCACCCACCCTGCACATTTTTGGACAATGGGAGGAAACCCGAGCACCCGGACGAAACCCACACAGACATGGGGAGAATGTGCAAACTCCACACAGACAGTCACCCGAGGGTGGAATTGAACCCAGGTCCTTGGCACTGTGACGCAACAATGGTAACCACTGAGCCACCATGCCGCCCCATGTTGGACCTGTTGGACTATAAACTGGTATTGTGTGATTTCTGACCTTGTCCACCCCAGTCCAACACTGGCACCTCCACCTCGTGGCTTGTTGAATAGAGGAGCATGCTGAACGGACTGCATAGCCTACTCTTGCTCCTACTTTGTATGTTTGTACAGGATTAGAAAGTGAAGGGAATTGTTTTTAAAGGTATTTTTGGTCTTGCCACCATTGTGGCAAGCTTATTTTGCATTCAGTACAAGTACAAGAAACTGACGTAGCATTTGAATTGGGAGGCAATCACTGAGATCCTGTTTCACACGGTTAACAGAGGAGTGACAGAATTCTGACGGTACCTTCTGTACTTTTAATTAGCCCGTATAGATACGTTTATCGACACCCATGTACTGCCAGTTATTGTCAGCTGCCAATGTATGCACAGACATGCACAGTATTAAGCCAGTTATTAAAAATTAAAATATAATAAGTTTCTATGTGAAAACTGTAAAATACTATTATCATAGTATACAGCAGTTCTGAGGAAGGGTCACCAGACCCAAAACGTTAACTCTGATTTTTCCTTCACAGATGCAGCCAGACCTGCTGAGATTTTCCAGCAAATTTGTTTTTGATCATAATATACTGGTTTATTATAGTAGTGTCATTAATTAGTATTGTAACTAAACCACCACCAATTATTGCTGACTACACATATATGAAGCCAATTTTTGAAAATTAAAATAAGTTGTACTTCATTTAACAGATTATTTCTGCAAGCCAACATACTGATTAGGTAAAATAGTATCATTAATATATTTGGAACAATTTGTAACTACATTTATAGGAAATATCACTGTTCTTTGGTGTCAGCAAGCACAGCCTTTATTGCTGTGTCTGACCTTGCCTGAATTTGCTCTTTGCACTTATATAATTAGCAAGTGGTACCAATCTTGCCATTGTTTTCACAACAATGTTTCAGCCTATAAATTTAAAGATTGACACATGAAATGTTGTAATGTTAGTACAATGCGAATACAAAATCCATTATAATAATGATAAAAACATTGCAAATTTCTTACAGCACAGGATTGTCTTGGTTCCCAAACTTCTGAGCAAAATGTGAGGAAAGAATATTTAATTGGAATTCAGTTTTCTCTCGCATCACAAGTGTTATAAACCCATTTTGCCACATTTCAGCAGTGATCATGCTAATTATCACTAAATTAATGACAGTCAGGCATTCACATAAACAGGCCTGCATTTAGAAAGCTAGTCTGCTGTCATTAAAGCAACTGCGAACAGAAACTGTTACAAGACATTTGCAAAGTTGTCATTGGTAGGAAGAATACAATCTGGGCAATCGCAAGTTAAGTTTATGACCAGAAAGACAAGGTGCCACCCTCTGATCTGATATGGAGTTCATTGGAATTGTATAAAAAGCTGGAACAGAAGACCAAGTTTGAGTTGAATGAGAATTTGAAGTGGTAAAGAGTGGAGAACTTAGGATCATACAAGCTGACAAAATTTGAGATATGCCAATAGCTAAGTTGTGACAAGTATATCCAGTTATTGTGGAATTTCTTACTAAATTATGCAATAACTTCTCTATTTGATTGCTCTGTTGAAAGAAAGTACAGTAGAATTTATGTTTCCCTTACTCTGTTATGGTATTTTAACTTTTATTGCATTTTATTTCAAGGGGAAGCTCTACACATGCACAGATGGATCCAAACAGAGAGAGTTTGAATGCAAGTAAGTTCACTGTAAATATACGTGCATTATAATAAAGGAATAAAGGAACTGGTGTTAATACTTGTTAATGCATCAGAGGGGTTTTTTTAGGTGAGGCTCCTAGCAACAAACTTTACTTATTAGGAATGAAAATTGAAGAATTCAGCGTTGAGATCATTGTACTTTATTTGTAGCATTCTGGGTTGCCTAATGATGAAAATGTATTGTTAACCTAGGCGATATTGAAACAAAAGCATTAGGACATTGTACAGTTTTCTGACCAACTGAACTACTGGACCTCCGTGAAGTCTGGTTTTACAGTTGTGTCACATAACACTTCATTATTTGTCTGTGAAGAAAGTAGATTGCTGCTGGCGAAAGTTTAGATATGTATGTGGCATGACTCTTAGTTTAGACAATAAATTTTTTACAGTTGGGAGAACTAGTTTAGCTAATTTTGTTGCTAACAAATGTACTGTGAAAATATTTTGTATTTAATGCCAGCTTACACAAGTTCCAGTCTGCCTGGAGTGTAATAAAGATAAAACTCTTATATTGCCTTCAAAAGTGTTGGATGCCGTACTGTTTGTAACATATATACTATTAACTACATATATCATTACTTAGCAAGTAGTCATTTGATTGTACAAAAATATTCAGTATTGCCAAGAAGACACATTTTGTCAAAGTTGTTTGTCTTGGACTTATCTGGACATTTCTGAAGAAATACTAAGTAAAGGGGAAACAGTTTTTATACTGCATGGTTGGAAAGTGGACACTCCTCTCATACAGTATAATTGATTTCTTTTCCTTTACATTGGTATTACTAAGCATAAGATCCGAACCACTGCTCCTTTCACAAATTCTCCCCATCCTCATGCTCATGATATTGTTTCCTATGTTCATGGCTAGTAACTGGTGTTATTGACACTCATCAAGATCATAATTTTCATCTATATAAGTTTTGGCATTTATTACAAGCAAAAAAAGCAATAATAACCTTACAGCAAAGTTTCATTATTAGGAGATGGAAGGCAGGTATAGACATTGCTACGTATTTGCCTAATTTTATTGCACACTTTAACACAAGAGCTGTCTCATTGTACAGTTCCCCAATTAACCCCTTTCCTATTCTTCCAAAACATTTAGTAGCATGTCTAAGATTGCATTATCCCTTTTGTGGAACCACAGGAACGATCCACTGCTGAAGTGCCTTAATCCATTGTTCATAGGCATTTTGAAAAATACTAATTTAAGAAAAATAGATTATAAGAATTATTTTAGTATTTTATGGAATTTTTTGAGTACTTCTGTTGATTCAAGTTGAAATAAAACTAATAGGTGTTACTGAGGAAACTGACTGGCAGGTGCTTTGCCAAATATGTGAGATTACTACTTTGATTTAAGTGATCAGTCCAGGATATTTCATCAATCTTAGTACCAGTAATCTCAGGATTTCTCACACTGTCACACATTAGTGATCATAGAGTCATACAGCACAGAGAAGGTCCTTCAAACCATTGAGTCTATGCTGACCTATCTACATTAATCTCATTTTCCAACACTTGGCCCATAACCTTGAATTTTATGACATTTCAAATGCTCATCCACATACTTTTTTAAGGCTGTGAGGTTTCCTGCCTCTACAGCCCTCCCATTCCAGATTCTCAGCACTCCTCCACTGTCCTCTAAACCTCTTGCCATTCACAATATCCTTCAATTAAGGGAAACAGCTGCTTCCTATTTACTCTGTCCATGTCCCTCATCATCTTGTACCTCTCAATTAGGTCCCCCCTCAGCTATCTCTGCTCTAAATAATGACCCAGACCTATCCACCCTCTCTTTACAGCTAAAATATTCCAACCCAGGCAACATTCTGATGAATCTTCTCTGTATCTTGATCAAAATAATCATATCCTTTCTTTCATGCGGTGACTAGAATTGCACACAGTACTCCAGTTGTGACCTAACAAAGTTTTGTACAGCTCTAATTATAACTTCCCGACTAATATAACCTTACACAACTGTTAAAGACAAGTGTCCTTATACTTTCTTAATCACCTTCTTAAATTGTCCTGTCACCTTCAGGGATCTGTGGACAAGCACCCCAAGAACCCTTGTCCACTGAGTTTCATAGCTTCCCACCATTCATTGTGTATTTCCTTGTTTTGTTACTTCTTCCAAGGTGCATCACCCCACAATTTTCAGGGTTAAATTCCATCTGCTACTGATCTGTCCATCTGACCAACCTATCCATATCTTCCACTAACCTAAGACCTTCTTCTACACTATTAACCACATGGCCAATCTTCACATCATCCACAAACTTACTTGTCACGCCCCTCCACATTTTCATCTATCTCATTTATCTGTGTCACAAACAATAAGGAACCCAGCATTGATCCCTGAGGCATGCCATTGGACACCAGCCTCCAGTCACACAAACAGCTTCTACCACCACAGTCTGTCTTTTACCACTAAACCAATTTTGGATCCATCCTCCCACTCACCCTGGATCCTATAGGCATTGACTTTCTTTATCAGTCTCCCATGTGGGTCCTAGTCAATGGCTTTGCTGAAACCCACATAAAGTATCCTCATCTACACGTGATCACCTCTGTAAAAATTTGTTAGGCACGATCTCCTTCTGACAAAGCATGCTGACCATCTCTGATCAAACCTTGCCTTTCCAAGTGGAAATAAATTATTTTCTTTAGAATTTTCTCCAGTAGTTTCCCTACCACTGATCTTGAAAAGTGGAACGACGTTAGCTATGCGCCAGTCTTCTGGCATCTCCCCTGTGGCCTGAGAAGAGTTAAAAATTTGGGTCAGTCAGAGCCCCTGTAATTTTCTCCTTCACCTCCCAAGTAGCCTGGGATACAACTCATCTGGATCTGAGATCTGTTCACTTTTCAGCCTGACAAAGCCTCCAGTATCTCTTCATTCCCTCTGACAATAAGGGACCTCAAGAATCTCACAGTTCATCTCCCCAAATTTTGTACCTACATCTTCTCTTGAGTGAAAAGAAAAGTATAGTCTTCATTTAATACCTGCCGACATCCTCTGACTCCATATGCAGGTTGCCCCTTAGGTCCCTAATGAGCCCTACTCTTTCCGTGGTGATCCTCTTGCGTTTAATGCGTTTTTAGCCTGTGAGATTCTCCCTAATATCACCTGTCAGTATTTCTTCATGCCTCCTGTTTGCTTTCCTAATTGCATTCTTAAGATCTCCTTTGCACTTTCTATTCTTCACGAGGGCTTCCAGTGATTTGCTCCTTTTGCACCTGCTTAAAGTCTCTCTTTTCCTTTTTATTTATTTCTGAATATTCCTAGATATCCTGAATTCTCTGGGCTTGTTACTGCTACATTTTACTCTAAAGGGAACATGTTGGGCATGTACTCTCCACGTTTCCTTGTTGAGCACTCCCCACTGTTCTGCTGTAGATTTTCACACAAGTAGCTATTCCCAGTCTACTTTGGCCAGATCCTGCCTTATTTTAATAAAATCTGCCTTCCCCAAATCCAAAAATAGTTTTGCAGATTATCTCTTTCCCTTTCCAACACAAACTTAAATCATTCTGTGCTGTGGTCGCTATGACTAAAATGTTCCCCCACTGCCACCTTGAACAGCTGTCCATCTTCATTCCCCAGAATTAGGTCCAGTACTGCACCATCCTGGAGAAATGTGTTGATTTAAAAAGCTCTCCTGAATACATTTCAAGACATCCACTCTTCCAAACCCTTTACACCATGACTATCCCAATTAGTGTTCTGGAAGTTGAAATGCCCTAAAATAATTACTCTATTTTTGTTATTACACACCTCAATGAATTGTCTACCTATCTGTTCTTCTGTTGCTTGCTGATGGTTTGAGTGCCGAAATACATTCCCAGCAATGTAACTGCCCCCTTTTTGTTCCTAAGCTCTACCTCAAAGCCTCATTTGAAGATCCTTCCAAGATATCGTCCCTCCTTACTACAGTAACTGACTCCTTAATTAATAATACAACACTACCTCCTTTTTTTACACGATGCCCTGTCTCACCTGACAACCCTGTACCCCAGAATGTTGAGTTGCCAGTCCTGGCCATCCCTCAACAATGTCTTTGTGATGGCAAAAATATCACATATCAATCCACAACTTTAACTCATCTGTCTTACCTATCTGTCTCCTGGTGTTAAAGTAGAGGCCTCGCAGTACTCTTTTGATTCACAACATGGCTGAATTCCCTCTGTGCAGGTTCTTTTTCTATAGTATGCTGTTCCCCTACCTCTGCCAAACTAGCTTAATCTCCTCCCAATAGTGCTAACAAGCCTACTTACAACAATGTTGGTCCCAGTGTGGTTCAGGTGCAGACTGTCCCCTTTATACAGGTCCCACTTTCCTCAGAAATAGTTCCAATACTCCTGGAATCCAAAATCCTCCCTCCTGCATGAACACCTGAGCCACACATTCATCTGCCTTATTTGCTTATTTCTATATTCACTTTGTAATCTACTGCCTAGCTACCTGAATTCTTGATGGAAGACCTCATCTCTCATTCTACCTATATTGTTGGTCCACGTATGCCACAACCTCTGACTTATCACCCTCACCCTGCAGCTGTTCAGCGACAACCTTGACCTGGCCCAGGAGAGCAACACAACATCCTGGAGTCATGCCTGCAGTTTCAGAAATGGCAATGGGCACATCTCACTATTAAGTCACCTAGCACTATTTCCTTGGACTTTTGCTGTCTTCTGCCTGTGCAGCAGGGCCACCCATTGTTTTGCTTTCCCCAGTAGAACTCTCATTGTCATCCTTTTTCAACACAGAATGACAGTTATAGAGTGGGATGGCTTCTGGGGCTTTCCTGTCTGCCTGACATTCTTATTTCCTCTGCCTGACAGTCACCTGTCTACCTGCAGCTCCTCAGTCTGCAGTGTGACCACCTCAGAAACCATGCTAACCATATAGCCATCAGTCTTGCGGATGCATCTCTGTGCCTCCAGCTGACAGTCATGTTTCAGGACTTGGCGCTCAAGCTGTTTGAATTGTCAGCGCTTCCTACAGGTGTGGTCATCCGGACTGCCAGATGCATCTAGGAATCCCCACATGCTGCAGACAGTGTACATATTGACTTGGGCTCCCCTGTCACATTCAATTAAATTAAAGAATCTTACATTTAAGACTACCAGAAAGAAAAAGCTAAACACTTACCCTACAGATCCTATATGCAAAAAGCTAAAAGAAACACTATGAAAGTAGTAGAAAAATAGTATAAAGCACAATAGAATACGATAAATTGGGAAGAATAGTCTAAAAGTCATAAAAGGTAGAAAATAGAAATACTCACTCACCAGTCACTTATCCAAGATGTCGCACTTGTATGTTCACTCAATGCTATATTAGTCAATTATATGACTAAAAATGTGACATAGTAGGGAGGCCAACATATTTCTGAGGCATTTGGACTTTTCCTGCGATGGCTGGACCTGTTCAAGCTGAATAGGCTACAACATAACAGGTCTGGGATTGATATCCTTACAGTGAAATTTGCTAGTGCTGTAGGGGGACAATTAAAACTAACTTGTCAGTGGAATGGGAATCTGAGGGATCAAATTAGAAAGGTGTAAAAATGACGACATGAAATATGAAAGTGGCAAGTGAAATTAGAAGGTACTTGAAATGAAGGTGAGGATCAGCTACACTTTGAATGTGAAATAAAGCCAAAAAAAGTAAGGGCACTCTACCTGAATGCATGAGACATTCTTGATATTCTTGGCCTCTTCTGCTGCCATTGGCGATTTTGTGAATGGTCTCAAGTGGCTCCATACACATCAGTAGTCCTGCTATTGCTGATCCATTCATTTTAATAGGCAGAGTATTTATGGTTTCCAAGAGTTGCCATAGCTGGATTTCGTCATGAATATACCAGCGCAAAGAGCAATACAGCACAGAAACAGGCCCTTTTGCTCTCTAAGCCTGCACTGACACATTTTGCCCTTCCATATTAAAACTGTCTTCACTTACTGGCTCCATATCCCTCTAATCCCTCCCTATTCATGTATTCGTCCAGGTGCTTCATAAAAACTGTTATTGTGTTTGCTTCCACCACCTCCTCTGGCAGCATGTTCCAGGCGCTCACCACCCTTTGTATGAAAAACGTGCCTTGCACATCTCTTTTAAACTTACCTCCTCACATCTTGGACCCATGTCCCCTAGTAATTGACCTGTCCATCCTGACAAAAAGCTTCATGCTTCCCACTCTATCCATGTCATTCACAATCTTGTAAACTTCTTTCAGGTTGCCCCTCAACCTCCTACATTCCAGTGAAAACAAACCCAGTCCATCCAACCTTTCTTCATAGCTAAACCACCCCCATGCCAGGCAACATCCTGGTAAACGTTTTCTGTACCCTCTCCAAAGCATCCACATCCTTCTGGTAGTGTGGTGACCCGATCTGTTCGCAATATTCCACGTGTGGCCTAACTAAAGTTCTATAAAGCAGCAGCATAACTTGTCTATCCTTATACTCAATGCCCTACCTTATCTACCTGCACTACTATCTTCAGTGTTCTGTGGACCTGTAGACCCAGATATCTCTGCATATCAACACTTCTAAGGGCTCTGCCATTTACTGCATAATTTCCACCCGTACTTCACGTTCCAAAATGCATCACTTCACATTTGTCTGGATTAAACTCCATCTGCCAGTTTTCTGCCCATGCCTCCTGCTATATCCTCTGACAATCGTCCTCACTGTCCACAACTCCACCAGTCTTTGTATCCTTACTAATTAGACCAGATACTTTTTCCTCCAAATTATTTATGTAGATCATGAGCAGCAGAGGTCCCAGCACTGATCCCTGTGGAACACCATTAGTCACAGCCCTCAATTCCAAAAAGCATCCTTCCACTGCTACCCTGTGTCTCCTATGACTAAGCCAGTTCTGTATCCATTTTGCCAGCTCACCCCGATATCATTTGTACCAGTCTGCCATGAGGGACTTTTTCAAAGGCTTTATTGAAGTCCATGTAGGTACATCAACCGCTTTTCCCCCAATCGTCTTCATCACCTCCTCAAAAAACCCGATCAAGTTAGTGAGGTGCAATCTCCTCCAGAAACAACCATAATGTTTATTGCTAATCAGTCCATTTGCTTCTAAAAGTTTATAGATCTTGTCCCTGAGAATCCTTTCCAGTAATTTCCCTACCACTGACATGAGGCTCACAGGCCTATAATTTCCTGGATTATTCCTTTACCCCTTTTAAGCAATGGGACAACATTAGCTGTTGTCCAGTCCTCTGGGACCCCACCTGTGGCCAAAGAGGATACAAAGATGTCTGTCAATGCTCCAGCAATTTGTTCTCTTGCCTCCCTCAGTATTCTGGGACTTATCTATCTTAATACTTTTTAAGACACACAATACCTCTTCCTTTTTAATACCAACAGTAGTTATAGTACAAGGAATGGGTGACCCAATGTATGCAGTCAGTTTTCTGTTGTAGGTTGCATCATTGAATTCCTGTGATCCAGGTGCATATCCATAAGAATATTTCTTAAGAACATTAAGAATTAAGCTTCCAGGTAAATTATGGTCTTGAGCATGTGTTTATCCATTTTCTTTGGGCAAATGATGTTACTAATGGCAAAAATTTCTAACTTTTGACTTTATCCACACATTTTGTCAAACCCACATCGTAGTCAGCTAGTTGAAGGCTCTTCCACTCTGAATCTTAACCTTGATCTGTTTTGCTGCAAACCTCATATGTGTGTATGTTTATGCAAATCTCCAATGCGCTCCCAGTTGTTTCTGCCTGTATGCTGCATATGCTTTTATTTTAGTTCTGTCTTATTGTAGCCTCTGTTGCATCTTTGGTGCCAGATTTCTTGCATATATTCACCCAATGCCTTTGCACTAAACCAATAAATTTAAGGCACTTTCTGCCCATTTGTTTGAAAGGGAGGATGACTGAGATAACTGACCATGTCAAATTAAAAAAAAAAGTATTTGTTACACAGAGAATGACTGTAATATTCTGAGATACAAAGGGATCTAGGAGTTCTAATGCGTGAGTCACAAATGTTCATATGTGGGTACAGCAGATAATTAAGAAGGATAAGAGAATGTTATTCTTGCAAGAGGAATTGGACATAAAAGTAAGGAAATTGTGCTTCACAGAAGGCAGTAAACGTGTTGGAGCCAGTTCAGAGATTTACAAGATTGTTATCTGGAATGAGTGGGTTGTCTTATGAGAAAAAAATTAAACAGGCTGGCCTTGTTTTTATTGAAATTTTAAAAAAGTGAGGGGTGCTTTGATGCTTATATGAACCTGACCACCTTGAAAAGGGGGAGGCAGAAAGGATTCTTCCTCATATGCATATATTCAGAACTATCAAACAGTGTTTTAAAATTCAGAGTTGACCAGTCAGCACTGAACTAAGGGAACGTTTTTCCTCTCAGAGGGTTGTACAACTTTGAAACTCTCTGCTGCAAAGTATTTGTACATTTTTAAGGCAGGCATAGATTGATTCTTATTAGACAAGGGAATTAAAGGTTATTAATGTTGAACTCAGAACACACAAACAACCATTACCTCATTGACGACTTAAAATGTCGTAAAGTGCTGAATGACCTACTTCCGCTCCTAATCCATATATTCATTATATACAATATTTTCTTTATTCTCTTCCTACATTTTCATACATACTACTATATTAATGAAGATAGGAATGTCTTTAAATACTGTTGTAAAAGAATTTGCTAAGGTGCGTTACCTGAGGCTGTTCTTATGTACCTTCGAGTATCTGGCTCAAAAATGGTCTCAGCACACTTGACTGTCTGCCCTCTTACGTTAATCAGAAGGTAGTAGAGAAGAGTGAAACAAAAATTATGAGCAGAAATGAAAATGCTAATGCATCTTGGGAGTTAAGATAAAACTTGACTACCCTATAACAATATTTATTTCCTATTAATAGAGGGCAGTATATTTTGTACAAAGATGGAGATGTAAATCAGCCAATGATAAGTAAACGAGAATGGAAGAACAGTGAATTCAACTTTGATGATGTCCCCTCTGCAATGATGGCTCTTTTTACTGTCTCAACCTTTGAAGGATGGCCACAGTAAGTAGAAAAAATGTCAATATGTATTATCATATACTGGATCAAACAATAATTTACGCTAAGTAGTTGCAAGTTAATCTTTAAAGCACCTGTCTAAGAAATGGAATTTATCATGAACCATAAACTGCAAAAATAAACAATGTACTAATATCTAAAACATTTTGAGGCGCTTCATAAATATTTTTATCATAAAATCAGTTTTTTGTAGTATGATTACCAGCAAAACCTATATTGTTTAAGATTAATTTCAATCTAATCCGAGTGGTACACAACACTGTTTTTCTTCTCATTGATGGATGTAAGCAATGTGCTCTGGACTCTCTCATGAATGTAACTCAAAGTGACTCCCTATAACTCTACTTGTAGTATGGATTAGTTCTTTTAAAATTTTACGTTTTAATCTTTTACTTTGGAATTCCTGTTGAACCAGCCACTCAGTTTTTCCACCCCCTTGAGGTTGACAGAGGTGCCACCACTTGTTTTGACTGTAAAATTCCCAACACAAGACTAGGACCTGGTTTAGGTCCCAAATTCTGGACTAAATGGCAATTTTGGTGCACTGTGATATTATGACAAGAGAGCATTAGAACACCATCCAAGATTTGATTCCAGCATTACTATCTTATTTTCATTCCTTGAAAGGACATTTGAAAACAAATTAGTGAAAGTTTAAAATTTAAATTTAAAAAAGTTAAAATTAAAACCACTTGTGAGCACAAGAGGCACAACTGCAAAAAATGTTGTACAATAGATAGTACTTGTGAAAAACTGTTAGCTTCAATTGTATTTACTGTCAGAAAGGATGTTGAAGAAGAAACTCTGGAATGTTGAGTACTTGAGAATGTTGTGTTCACAGCCACATCACAAAGACCAACTCTTATTAGGAAATCCAACACTGGATCTTTTAATCATAGTGTACTGCAAAATGGCTTTAGATTCACCTTGATTTTACCAGTCAATATTCTTTCATGCTTGCTGTTTTGACCTCACTCTTTCACATTCTATTCTCAACTTTCTGTGGTATTGAGGTCTGTGTCAGCTGTAAGCTGTCTTTCCCTGTCTTAAGGGAAACTTCAAGGGCAAGTAGAGACAGCAATAAATGCTGGTGAGCCAGCAATGTCCACGCCTCACGAGTGAATAAAAAAAAAAATCTAGTCTAATGAAGTGTATTATTGCTAAAAAATTAAAGAAATCATAGTTCAATATAAAATGTAAACCTTTATCTTGCAAAACATAATAGCGAATCAGCCCCAACCAAGCACTTTGAGTATTAAATTGTCTTAAATTAGATAAAGAAACGAAACAGAATATGAAGTGGGAAGTAATTTCATTAATAACAATATAGTTGTGTTATTAGTAAATACATTGCTTTTCTTTTAAATTGTTTTATTTTTATGTTCTGCTCAAGCTAAAAATGCAAGTTCTTATCAGGCTTCTATCACTGCCTCTCTTCAACAGGCTGTGAAATAATGAATGACCACCCGATTTTCTTTCTTCCCTCCATGTAGAAAATGTTGGCTTCTTTCTGTTGAGATCAAGAACTTGTCCTGGAGATGTGAACTAGTGTAAGGGACAATGGCACAATGCACAAATTATGAGTTTCTTTCTTGGCATTTCATGCCATCAGAAAACCTAATTCTGAAAAGCACTCCACAGTTTGCAGTTGTAACTTACTGGAAATTGTGTATTTAATGGCATGGACTCAATTTAAACTTAAGCACATAAACTTAAAATTGTGAACGGTGCAATTTTCATCATTCAACAAAACAACAATATCTGTCAATTTGATCCTTCCATTTAATCAATAGACTCTGAATTCAAGTTTCAAATGAAGTGATTAACTGAAGGTAGGGAGTTAAAAGCCCTTGTGAAGATATCTACATTTGACACTTTCCAACTTCCAGGCTAAAACAAACAGTAAGATGAAATTGGATGTAAAGGGAGGAATGTAAAAGCATTGGTAGAAATAAAGTGGATACAAAACGTTACCTTTCTCAGATTAAATTATATACGCTTTATATTTATATAAATACATGTACATTTCTTCTGTCTTATGTTTGCAGGTTGCTTTATCGAGCCATTGATTCTCATACAGAGGATGCAGGTCCAATTTACAACTACAGAGTGGAGATATCGATCTTCTTCATCATCTACATCATCGTTATCGCCTTCTTCATGATGAATATTTTTGTAGGTTTCGTCATCGTCACATTTCAGGAACAGGGGGAACAGGAATACAAAAACTGTGAACTGGATAAAAATCAGGTGAAAAAGAAATTTTAATAGTTAAATATGAGCTGGTATGATTTAAATTTTTTGAATATTGTTATGTGATTGTACCTCAAAAGGTATATTACAAAGAAGATTCTTGTCAGTAGATAATGTGTGGCATAAAATGAAGAATAATATTTCATATATCACATTTTAGTTATTTTGGGTAAATGTGTTTTTCATGCAAATGACCATCAGTAGTAGGTAATGGTTTCTAAAATATCAAACACTCCAAATCAGCACGAGCACAAATTGGAGGTGATTCACTGCTGTGAAGTTATAGCATCTGATCTTGATAGTAAATAGTGATGACCCTCTTTTCCTGAAACAAAATAAAATTAAATTGCTACTTATTGCCAAACAGGATGACCCACATTAATTTGGCCATAAACAAAACTCGCTCGACCCTAGTCACTGATCTACCACATTGGAAAATGTGGGAAAGCACAAGGAGTAGGAATACATTTTGACTGCACTAATAAAAATCAGCACATATATAAGAACGTAAGAGCACTAGAAATAGGAACAGGAGGAGGCCATCTAGCCCCTTGAGCCTGCTCCACCATTCAATAAGATCACGGCTGATCTTTTCATGGACTTAGCTCCACTTACCTGCCCCCCTCGCCATAACCCTTAATTGCTTTACTGTTCAAAAAGTCTAGCTAGCTTTGCTTTAAAAACATTCAACGGGATAACCTCACTGCTTCACTGGGCAGGGAATTTCACAGATTCACAATCCTTTGGAAGAAGTTCCTCCTTAACTCAGTCATAAATCTGCTCCCCCTTATTTTGAGGCCATGCTCCCTAGTTCTAATTTCACCTGCCAGTGGAAACAACCTTCCTGTTTCTACCTTTTCTATTCCCTTCATAATTTTATATGTATCTATAAAATCCCTTCCCCACACCCTCCATTCTTCTAAATTCCAATGAGTATAGTCGCAGTCTGCTCAATCTTTCCTCAAAAGCCAATGTTCTCAACTCTGGAATCAACATAGTGAACCTCCTCTGCAGCCCTTCGAGGTTACAGTCCAACAGGTTTATCTGGAATCACAAGTTTTCAAAGCATACCCCATTCGGCAGGTCAAGTGAGAGGCTATGCTCCAAAAGCTTGTGATTTCAAATAAACTTGTTGGACAATAACCTGATGTTGTGTGTGACTTCTGACTTTATCCTTTCTCAGTAAGAAGACAAAAAGTGTACTCAAGGTATGGCCTCACCAGCACCCTATACAACTGCAACATAACCTTCCTGTTTTTAAGCTCCATCCATCTAGTAATGAAGGAGAATATTCAACTTGCCTTCTAATTACCTGCTGCATCTGTGAAATAACTGCACAGAGACTGGTATCCCGTCACCAAGTCACCCTTTATTTACTCGTGCACAGTACATTGGCTGTGGCCAGTCAGCTCACAGTCAGTCCCCGAACTGAAGAGATTCTAAATCCCCTGATTATATTGGTCGGCCAGGGCTTCCTGATAGGAAGGACCTTGTAGTCAACAAGGTCCGCCTGGTTCCAATCACCACATCCGTCCTCCCTAAGTCCGGGGACATAGTCCTGGTCTTTCTCTTGTAGCTTTTCCTGCAACGTTTTCACCCCAGGTCCGGTTCTTCTGATTCGGACTGTGACGTGGGTGGTGTGTAACAGACCCTAGCTTGCCTCTTGCATCTGGAGCATCTCGGGAGGGTTTCCTACTCTTGTTCTGGTAGCAATGGTATCAAGGCTGCATCCATTTTGGACTCCGAAGTTTCCTTGACACTAGACAGAGCAGGAAAACCTAAGGATTCTGACAGGCATTCTGGCTGTTTTGAGGGGCAAGGTATATTTTGCTCCTGCTCCATTTGCAAGGTAACATCTTTCAGATGATCTACATGTTTGTTCAGGATTGCCTCACCTACCCAAACTTTGTAAGTCATGGGACCTGACCCCTCATCCACCTCGCCTCCTTTCCATACAAGGCCATTTCCATGGTTCCAGCACCCAACCTTGTCTCCCGAATTAAATTGTCTCTCTCACTTAGAGAGCGTGTGTGGCCAGTATTCCTGCTGCCATTTCCCTCTTCCCCCCAGGTCTGGGAGTATCAGGTCTAACCTGGTGCAGAGTCTGCTCCCCATCAGCAACTCTGCTGGAGCTATCCCTGTTGTTGCCTGCAGGGTGGTCCTATAATCAAACAGGAACCAGGACAGTTTGGCATTGAGTGACGCTGTACGCTGCTTCTTTAAGCCTGCTTTCGACATTTGGACCGCTCTTTCTGCCAGACCATTGGATGATGGATGGTATGGAGCTGTCTTTATGTGTCAAATGCCATTCAACTTCAGGAAATACTCAAATTCCTTGCTGGTAACTGACATCCCATTATCCACGAGCAATACTTCCGGAGTCTGTGTATCGTGAACGATGCTGAAATCTTCTCAACTGTCATCCCCAAGTTTGCTGAATGGACTTTATGCATGTCCAACCACTTTGAATGGGATAACAAAATGACTAGGAACATCGACCCCGTGAAAAGACTGGCATAGTCAACATGTATCCGAGTCTAGGGTTCACCCGGCTATTCCCATGAATGTGGGGCCACTGCTGGTAGCAACTTTTGTCCTTGTTGGCACTTTGCGCACTGCCCCGCCAATGCAGCTATGTCAGCATCCAACCCTGGCCACCAGTTATAGATTCTTGCTAACATCTTCATCTTGGAAACCCCTGGATGACCCTGGTGGAGTTCAGCCAGTATCTGACGGCAGCCTTTACTCAGGACAACCACTCTTGCTCCCCGAAGTAATATACTGTCCTCTACAGTGACCTGGTCTTGCTGGGTCCAGAAAGGTTTCAGTCCTGGTTGCAATGGCCTTTCTGCCTCTGCCATTACCACCAGGTGTTTTAGTTTTGCTAGGACAGGATCTTTTAGTGTTCACAGTTGGATGTTGTCAGTGACGATCAGAAGGGTGTCCAGGAAATTTAAAACAAACACGAATTCTTCTGGGGAGGCACCACCATCAAAGAACAACAAAGAACAAAGAAAATTACAGCACAGGAACAGGCCCTTCGGCCCTCCAAGCCTGCGCCAATCCAGATCCTCTATCTAAACTTGTTGCCTATTTTCCAAGGATCTGTATCCCTCTGCTCCCTGTCCATTCATGTATCTGTCTAGATACATCTTAAATGACACTATCGGGCCCGCCTCGACCACCTCCGCTGGCAACGCGTTCCAGGCACCCACCACCCTCTGCGTAAAGAACTTTCCATGCATATCTCCCTTAGACTTTTGCCCTCTCACCTTGAAATCGTGACCCCTAGTAATTGAGTCCGCCACTCTGGGAAAGAGCTTCTTGCTATCCATCCTGTCTATACCTCTCATGATTTTGTAGACCTCGATCAGGTCCCCCCTCAACCTCCGTCTTTCTAATGTAAATAATCCTAATCTACTCAACCTCTCTTCATAGCTAGCGCCCTCCATACCAGGCAACATCCTGGTGAACCTCCTCTGCACCCTTTCCAAAGCATCCAGATCCTTTTGGTAATGTGGCGACCAGAACTGTACGCAGTATTCCAAATGTGGTCGAACCAAAGTCCTATACAACTGTAACATGACCTGCCAACTCTTGTACTCAGTGCCCCGTCCGATGAATGAAAGCATGCCATATGCCTTCTTGACCACTCTATCGACTGCGTTGCCACCTTCAGGGTACAATGGACCTGAACACCCAGATCTTTTTGTGCATCAATTTTCCCCAGGGCTTTTCCATTTACCGTATAGTTCACTATACAATACCAGTGGAGTATCTGCCAGTGGGAGGTAGCTCAGGGCATCTGCATTAGCCACTTGGCTTCCTGGATGGTGTTCTAACTTGTACTTGTACACACCGAGAATAAGGGCCCAATGCTGAATTTTCCTGGAAGCTATGGGCAGCACCACCTTGTCTTCCTTCAGTAGCCCTAGCAGAGGTTTGTGATCTGTTACTGTGACAAATTCCCGTCCATAAAGGTACTGGTGGAACTTCTTCACACCAAAAATGACTGCCAAACTTTCCTTCTCTACCCTGAGCGTATTTGCGTTCAGCATCAGCCAAAGTCTGGAAGTATACACTATTGAGCATTCCTCTCCATCAGTCCACTGGTGAGCCAACTCTACGCCAGTACCGTACAGGGAGGCATCACATGTCAGCACCACTTCTCACTTTGGGTCAAAGTGGGCCAACACCTTAGATGATGATAGCTGCTTTTTCACTTCCTTAAAGGCTACTTCTTGGCTATGCCACAATTTCAAAGGCTGACCCATCTTCAATAGCAGGTGTAAAGGTGCCAAGTTGGAGGTCAGGTTATATACGAATTTTCCGTAATAATGTACTAACCCAAGGAAAGACCTAAGCTCCAGTACAGACGTGGGAGCCAGGGCTCCTTTGATCGCCCTCACTTTATCTTTCAATGGCTGTAACCCAGTTTTGTCGACTCTGTAACCTGACTAGGTCACATGGGGTGCCTGGAACATGTATTTTTCCCTTCTAAAGCATACACGTGCCTGGGAGAAACATTTAACCACTATGCCCAAGTTCTCCAAGTGCTCTTGATAGGTCTTCCTGGTTATTAGCATATTATTCAGACAGATGGCAACCTGGGACAGCCCTTGTAAAGTGTTCTCCATGGTCCACTGGAAAAGGGTGGAGGTTGATGATACCCCAAAAAGCAGCCTTGTATATTGATATAAACACTTATGGATATTAATTGTGGCATACATCTGGATATTTCACTAGGATTCACTGAGGCAGCCATTTTCCAATTGAAAAATGTTGAGCAATTGAGGGGAATCTTTCTCAACCAATCCTGCCCCAATAGGCTTGGGCCTGAGTCTCTCACTAGCATCAGTGGTAATGGCACCAACTGCTTCTCATAGGAGGTCAGAACTGAACCCTTAATTTGCAACAGTTCCCTAGTGTATGTTCTCAGTCGAGTCTTGTGCAAACTTAAGTGTAGGAGACCTGAATCAATCTTGTTAAAGATGGTT